TTCAGGATCTGTCCTTCCAGTGAGCACTCAGGGTTGATTTCCTTTAGAATGGATAGGTTTGTTCTCCTTGCAGTCCAGGGGACTCTCAAGAGTCTCCTCCAGCACCACAATTCAAAAGTATCAATTCTTCAGCGGTCAGTCTTCTTTATGGTCCACCTCTCACTTCCATACATTGCTACTGGAAAAACCATAGCTTAGACTATGCGGACCTTTGTCGGCAAGGTGATGTTTCTGCTTTTTATGATGCTGTCTAGGTTTGTCATCGCTTTCCTCCCAAGAAGCAGGCATCTTTTAATTTTGTGGCTGCTGTCCCCATCTGCAGTAATCATGGAGCCCAAGAAAGTAAAATCTATCACTGCCTCCATATCTTCCGCTTCAATTTGCCAGGAGGTGATGAGACCAGGAGGTGATGATAGTTTTTTTTATGTTGAGCTTCAGACCATTTTTTTTCTGCTCTCCTCTTTCACCCTCATTAAGAGGTTCTTTAATTCCTCCTCACTTTCTGCCAGCAGAGTGGTATCATCTGCATATCGGAGGTTGTTGATATTTCTCCTGAGAATCTTAATTCCCGCTTGGGATTCATCCAGTTCAGCCTTCCGCATGATGGATTCTGCATAAAATAAGTAGGGAGACAATATACAGCCTTGTGGGCATGATACTGTGCAGCAATATTGAGCCATTTCCTAGTGTTTTGACTCATGAATAAAGGAAGCACAATATCCCAAATTCATAAACTGTAGAGTTTTTTAATACTTGTATTCCCTTAAAAACAGAAGTTTTAGTATACATATAACAAATTCAACAGTAATTTCCCTTATGTAGAATTACCCAGTGCCTGAGGATCCCAAAAGATGATCGCATTATTTGTTCCATGGTTGCTGGAGGAGGGCAGAACCAAGAACAGCTAGGATGTGACTGCAGTCCATATGTGACATAATATTTCGAAGGGCTGTTTTGGACTTAATGAAATGGTGAAGCTAAAGTGTGAACCAGTGCAACATATACAGCAAAGAAGCATGCACACCCTTTAACTTCTCAGGTAAACTAATGTTGCTGTGCCTGCCCTGCAGATTGCACACTAGAAAGCTGTCTTCCAATTTCCAAGCCCTGTTGCCTGTACATTTTCCAAAATATGTCCTTTCATCTTTTGGAATAAAAATAGCTGCCTAGAGTGATCTCTAACTCACTCTTGGTTCACTTTTAAGTTTCACACTGTCTCTCACTACCAGAATCTCTCCTCATACTCCATACACCAGCCTTTATATTCAGCCCCCTTCCCCCTTGGCACCGCCTTCCGTCCACTCATTGGCTCCTTCTCCACTGCTCAGCTGTGACGGACAGGTGAGGGCAGGGCTGATCGCTGCACAATGTATTCTCACTTTTCTACAGAGGTAATCAAAAGGTCATTTGAAGGAAGCAAGTACAGCTCCCAAAAAGATTCAAGCGACCCTGCTAGCAGTGCCACTCTAGGAACTAGAGAGTATAGTACACAAAATAAAAGTCTCTACACTCCTAGAATGCATTGAAATTAGTGGGATTTAAACATTTGCAGTCTTGTGTTGTGTTTTATCCATGAACAGGTGCATATCTATGAACCTCCTATCCAATGTTAATCAGATTTAAGTAGAATAAATTTTTGCTATGTGCCATCAAGTCTGTTCCAACTAATGGTGACCCTAATAGGAATGTGTAGAGATGTGAGACTGCTGAAGGAACAGCTTGCTTTTGTCCTCTCCAGCCAAGTGATAGTCCATGGCCAAGCAGGGATTCGAATCCAGGTTTCCTGAGTTCTGTTCAGACATTCTACCCACTGGAGCACATTGGCTCATAATCAAACACAACCCTACAGTTTGCTCTTCAGACAGCAAACAAACAAAACCTGGAAGGTGAACTATTAAGTTCTGAACAAAAGTGCTACTTTTCTGTTCATTTTTCCATTTAAGCCTTTTAGCTGAGTGCTTTTCATAACAAGTTCCTAAGGAAATGGTTTTGTGTGTTGTTTTTTTTTAAAAAAACGATTCAGTATTTATTAAGGATCTAAGTGGGTAAGTTCTGTTATAACAAAGCAGGATTTTGATTAAAAATGTTATGAATTCAGTGTGAACGATAAAAGGAGAGAAAAGGAGGTTATATGATAACAATCTAAAACTTTAAATCATAAAGGTCTTCATTTTCTCTCACAGCTGAAAGCCACAAAAGGCACCGAAATTATGCTGACAGGTCTTGCCTTTAAATTAAAATAAGAAATTTAATTCATTTTCAATATGCTGAGATTAAAACAAAAACAAAACTGGAGTCAGGGCTTCTTGATTGACACTTTTCCTAAAATTTAATTACCAAACCTGAGTCGGTATTCTGCCAATTGCTTTGTCCTTTAAATCAAAACATAAAATGCTGCTCAGTATTAACTATTTAAGCATGGCTAATTATTGTGTGCCATTTTGTTACTTTAACCAAATACACAGTAGAATGGTTGTTGTGGGTGTTTCGGGCTCTTTGGCCGTGTTCTGAAGGTTGTTCTTCCTGACATTTCGCCAGGGTCTGTGGCCGGCATCTCCAGAGGACAGCACTCTGTGCTCTGGTGTAGTTGGCTTTGGGAGTGCAGTATTTATGGCTGTGAGATAGGTTTTTGTCTTTTTCTGTAGATGGGTGATTAGTGTGTGTTGTACAGTAGAATGCGTTGGAGTTATGGCAACCTTGCACGCTGCCTTTAGTAGGTCTGTTGGGAGGGAGCTTTCTGGGCTGGTGAGACTGTCAAATCACTGACAGCACTAACCAATAGTTCCTTCCCTGCCTCTGACTCAAAGATACCCCCACGTCAGTCCTTTTTGCTCAAAGTAGTTGGTCATATTGCTAGCATGCTGCTATCTGTTTACTGTAAGTAAATGAAACATCTTTATTCTTTCTCCTGATAATGTCTCAGAGTGAATTATTGAGACTGTAGGTGCCAGTTGGTGAGAAAAAGGAGTGGCCTTATCTGCGGAACTTGACGTTATTTCTGCTCTGTGAATCCCTGCACTTCTGCTGCACAGCTAGATGAATTTAACCAAAATCCAAAACTCAGCAACAGAATGTTTGATTTACAAGCAAAAGTAGAATTGAGATCAGTTTTTAATATGATCTTTTTTTGTGCATTAATAAACCATATGCTGTATATTACAAATGCATCGATGAGAATGTGCTGTCTCTGCCATCTATAAAGCTATTTATAGAAAAAAAAACTTATTGTAATGTGAACCATAACCTGATATTTCTATGTTGCTTGCATTCATGTAAAACCTCCAAAGTTAGAGCAGGATTTCACCTTCATATCATTGCTTTCTCAGAGAGAGAACGACAGAGGGGGCCGCAACCCCCTCTATGCATGTCGATAACAACACTTTTAAAATTCCTGAATAGAGCTACAGATGTCCGTATCTCAGAGAGATATTCAAGGGAGCGTGTTCATAGACCCTTTGACTCAATGCTCTTGGGCAGGGTATTAAATGGTGGACTCCCAGTCTCAAGTTTTAAAGAAACTCATATTTTGAGGGAATTCATGTTTTTATACTCTACCCTTTTTTGATGCAAGAGGAGACTCACTGACAGTTTGTTGACCACAGTCTACCTAAGTCCTAGATAGACGGGGGGGGGGGAATGAAATATTAGAATTGTGAAATTATCAAAGATAATACAGTTGACTCCCTTGTTTAAGCATCTAGCATTCTTCCAAGCCTATGTAAGAGTTTTTTTTGGGGGGGATGGCAGCTGACATCCAAAATGAAGAATATTAATCAAAAATTCACAAAAGAAAATAACAGAAAATGCCCCCCCCCAAAAAATCAAGAAAACCTGTGTTAAATTGGAGTAAAGGATTGAAGCTGTTGCTTGTTGGGAATGAGAAACAACATTTTTCACTTTCCATGTGAGAGGATGAGAGATTTTCTCTGTCTTGAGTAGAGTTTTCCCATTTACGCGAATGAGTTTTGACCAAATGAAATGTAACGTAAGTTGCACAAATCTGATGCATCTACTTTAAAAATTAGAAACATATGATTGGTTGTTTGCATTTTGACCATTTAGCCAATCCCTGCGTGAATTTTATGTGCATGCTTAGTTTTAAACATTTAGAAGATAGTAGTTTTGAGCAGAGATGATACACAAACTAAAGAAAAAAGTGCTTGTCTTGTTCTGGCACTGAGGAGGGGGGGTCTCATCATGTCAAGAGAATTTAGACTGATAAGAAGGAGGGATTTAGCAAATTTTCTTCACATCCCTAATCTAATCTCAGTCACTGTTTTGTTCTCACAATGACCTACTAGAAATCTTAGACTACAAGAGCCCATACTGACCAAAATCATATTATGTAGGTTACACTGGTATATGAGTGATTATGTTTCTAATGGGGTGGGTGGGTGTGATTTCAGTAGTTAAAAGGTTCCTGTTTTTGTCCTGTAGCTTAACCAACATATGGAATTTGTCTCTCATTGCATATTAGTTATGGAAGCTGTGGGACAGAAGAAAGAACTCTTTAGTTATCAAAGATCTCCTGTCAGTGTGCAACTTACGTTACAGGATTCCAAACATTGTCTTTTATATTTCATCACCATCATAGTTAGTACCATTGATAGCCTTATTTTTCTAGCAAGAGGAGAAAAAGAAAAATATCATAAACTCTTATTTTTAAAAATGTTTTCTAAAGAATTTTAACTCCAGTGAGAAAAGACTAAAGTCTGTTTCCAACAAAAAATCCAAAATCTGCAAGGAAAATAGCACCATCTGGTGACAAAAGGTATGCAATAAATTTTCATGGAGAGTTAGAGAACACAATTTTTTGAGTGTCAGCTTTAATGTACTGAAGGAAAAGCAAGGTCTGATGTGATTGATAACACTCTGAAAATCACAAGAGAGCACAATGTTTTTAACAGATTACACTTGTGTTACTGTTATTCTTAAAAAGAATACATTTTGGCAGATACTATTATATTGTACTGGAGCTCACAATAATGTTTTGTTGCTAGCCCATGAGAAAGGGAAAATACAAAGCAGAGAGCAAACAGCCAGGACCATGGACAGTTCACCACGAGGATGGATCTGCATACAAGGTGAATATTAGAGTTGCAGACAAATGAAGCAGTTTGAGCTTGCAAGCCAGTACTGGTGTATCTAAAGTTGGAAACTATTTCTTCTCATAGTCTTTATTTTACTCAATATCATTTTCAGAAAATCCTATCTAAATCAAGTAGAACCAGAGTACAACAAAATATGTGACTTTGATTGCAGCTCAGATATGCCCCTTGTGTCTGAGAAAAGGCTTAAACATTTTTTATTCGGGTTTGTTCAGAAAATATGTTTTAGTCTTTAATCTATGCTAGAAAAAGTTCTGCATACATTACGAGGTTATCATGTGGTAATATCCAGATTCCCTCTGATTAAAATACAGTGTTCATGCATTTACACTTCATATGTGCAAGGAATTGTCATTTTGTGGAAGAGGAGTATGAAAGACTGGTTGAAAAGACAGCAAACCAGTCCCTTTTTGAACTGAAAATTGCATCACACAACTCACAGCAGTGCAAAAGATGACAAACAAGTGTGTTACTGTTTGTGCATTGTTATTCCAGGAACTGTGGGTCACATTGCTTTGCTTAAAGATGCAGGCTGAATGAAATGTGCAGAAATCCCTACACAGCACACAACCTCCCTGGATTTACCTGTTTAGGATAATTTCTGTAACAACTCTTAGTAAAAATAATGTTGTGCATCTGATATCCCGTATGGCATTCTCGAACCAGAAACCAGTGAGATCAATTTGAGGTGACACCTTGTTTTTCATGCATCATTCATAAAAGAATCTCATTTCCTTCACACCTTTTCTTCCTTCTGTCCTATGTTAAAACCTATGCCAGTGCTTCTGTTGTAATTCTTCTGACGTACAGAGGGCTGATGCACAAGACACACAGTATGTTGGAAGCACTGCATAGTAAAAATGATGGCCATGACTTCTTGACATGCTTATCTTGAGCTGCTGTGTCATGTCTGACATCTTGGGTCCTCTCTTATCCTATATGGAGACCTTGATCACATACCTGGCTTTCTGAAGATGACTTGGCACTTCAAAGGAGTAGATTGATATGAACAAAGATAATTTAAAAAACTCTTTCATACAGCTTGCTCTCGTTCTGCCTTGCATTCACCTATTTTGAAAGGTAAGCAGCTGATGGTTAGAAATGTTTCATGATCTACATGACATCAAAGTTGTCTAGCTACATTAATGTTCGAAAACTGGCCATCAGTCTCTGGCACTTATCACTCTTCAAACTAACTGTGACAGTTCTTTCCACACTGTGGCATTCTGCTTAGAAGCATTTTATGTTGTTTTGCAGCTGACACTGCATTTGGGGTCAGGAGGAGATAAAAACTTAAAAAAGAAAAAGACAGCCCTTGTCAAGGCCTTTATGCGACTGAAAGCCCAAATATAATTCTGACAGCATTATGTCTCATACACTTAGATACATACCTGGACTGGGTTTGCATAGAGCTTCAATTTTAAAAAATCCTTTATAATGGCAGTAAACCAGGAAGTAACCCAACCTGCAATGTAACATGAGGGGAAAAAAAACATCTGCCACAAAAACAATGTCAAGAAAGACAGAGGCAATACTGATTTCATCACCTTCTGTTATTTTTATAACAAGGATCATCTAAAGTTTCTGGGAGAGGAAACAGCGTAAGATGACTTTTATTTTCTTAAACAGCACCTGTCCATCCTCGTTTTCATGTAAGTCAAGTGGTCCAATGAGTCATTCCATTGCTCTGTGACATCACCATTATCCCTTGACCATCTGATAGGATTAGCGAGTTATGCAAGATTATGATCAGGTCAAAACAGGTTACGTGCACACATGAGTTACTAAGGGGTCAAACCACTCTAGCAAATCACCCCAAGAATCTCATTAACAGGCCTATGATTGCCATATTATTCATTCTGGAGTGAACATGGTTGCTCTCTCCATCTGTGTCAGAATCCTGTTGCAGCTGAAGGCCTCTTGCTGATCCCTGCCAGACCTCTCTGGGCTGACTTCGTTATTTCTAAAATAAAACCACTCTCTTAGCCATCTATAATTCAGCCAGAAAATCCTATTAGCCTATATTTATCTCCAGAATTAGTGGCTTCTGGCCTAAGACCTCTGTTCGCCTGTCTTCCCTGTACAGTACATCCTTGCCCAAGAATTCCCTTGCATTATTCCAGATAGATTTCCAGCACACTAATGACAGTCAAATGAGACTAAGGAGAGGTAATCTTTGTCACACCTAATCCTCAGAAGTGCTTTCTCTGTACTTTGGTGGTTCACCAATCTACTACGCCCCCCTTCTTTCATGTCTCTGTATATGTGTGTGGCTTAAGAAAATATCTTTTATTTCTTTCCTTATCTTATCCTTGTATCATCTCTGCAAATACCACTGCAGAACATGGCAGTAGCAGCCTGAATCTCATAATCCTCTCACTTCCTTTGAATATATATTTCCCCATATTAGTTACATACGTTATTGTTGAACCTTTGCTTTCCCCAGTAATCGTTTTATGTATCTCAATGTTTGTGACTTCTGTAAAACTCTCATGTTAAATTGCTCCATGTTGCTCTAAAATGTTAATATACTTAGCCCAATCTATGTCATGATGCATGTCATGTGCTAGGGTCCAATGATCTCTTATGGTTGTTTCACAAAACGTGTGAGTTTCCATGTACACTTCGGGAGCATACCTAGTGACACCCAAAATCCATATGAAAAATTGAGTTTCCCATGTGAACACGTTTGAGGCAACAGTGATTAATCACATCTGAATGATACATCAGGGTTCAAGACTCACTTTCTAACACCCGTGTGAGTTGAAATGAGAGATAGCACTGGCGTATCCTGCCATAAGTCCAGGGCTGTTATACAGTTATGCCATTCATAAGAACATGGCTTGGGAAGTATATTTAGCAATGTATTTTTCAATTTGGTTCATTCTCAGAAATGAAAGGAGAAAGTGGGGAGAGGAGAGGAACAGATATGAAAGGGTTGATCTCGGAGAATTTGTAGTTTGTAAGATCACATACATGCAGTTGGGTGAAATGTGAAACAGTGGTAACTGCTCCCTTCTTGCATGGGCATTTAGAGAGCAGAGGTATGCCACATCTTATTTGTAACTTTGTGAGCAATGAGTTTGCTCTTTTGTGCTTGCTGTGCAAGGGGAAATACAAGAGAACCATTCAGTGTGAACTGTGTCAACCACAACAGTGAAAAGTAGCATCTTTATGGCTTCCTCTTACATTTGAAACAAGAAATCTGATGGCACTTGGAAAATCCCTAGCAAGCTGGCCTACCATATTGAGACAGCTTGTCTTTTTATTATTATTATTATTTATTTTAACTATAACATAAACATAAAATACATAAACCAAAATACAAATTAACTGCGTTCCCCACCACCATAGATGGGACCTCTTGCAATAATCCTCTTCTTCCTCCATATTCTTCTTTTATTGTCCTCCAGAACTTCATTGATTCTTGATTTCGAGCTTTCCCTTTTCCTCTTTTTAACACATATTCCAAAAATCTGCCCCATATGTCATAAAATTATCCTTTTTCATGTCTCCTTTCTTAACCTTTAAATTACAAGTTAACTTATCATTTATAGCTATATTCCATATTTCATTATACCATTCGTCCATTCGAAATTCAGATTTTGATTTCCATTGCCTAGCTATTATTAGTGTAGCTGCTGTTAATAAATTGGTAATCAATTTTTAGTCATCTTATCATATTCCACATTCTCAAATATTGATAACAAAGCACAGGATTAAATTCTATATATTTTTCACATATGTCATTTAGTTCTTTAAAGATTAGTTTCCAAAATCTTTGTACTTTTTCACATTCCCACCACATATGAAAGTATGTACCAATTTCCTTCTCACATTTCCAACAGACATTCAGATAACTAGTGTTAATTTTATTCAATATTGTCATCTTAAGCCCAATTTGAAAAAAAATCTCTTATTCTCACTGACATAAATCTTAAAACCCTCGTTTTCCACATCTTTCTCCATTCTTCATCATTTCTTCTTTTTCCTAAGTCTTGTTCCCTAACTAACTTCAATCCTTCTTTCTCACTTTCTTCTTCTTCTAAGTCAAGCAGGAATCTATAAATTTTACTCACTGCATCCTTTACTGAATCAGTCATCTGAATATCTTCATATGATAATAGAAATTGTTCATACTTTGTGTATTTTCTACCTTTATTATATTTCTTTATCCATTTTTTGGCCATCTTTCTAATTGCATTTAATTCAACCATGAGATATTCTTATTCTGAAGGATTTGTTTCATTTGATCTTTCAATCTCATTTTATCTGGAAGACAGCTCAAGACGTAACAACATCAAAATAATGGATTTTGAACATCAAAAAGGAACTGATCTTAAGCAGGAAGTGGTGGCCTGGATTAATTCTATTATGAATTCCCAACATCTGGCTGAAGAAGATATAGAGAGAATACATTTTGTTGGGAATCCCAGAACCAAAAGATCATGACCCATAATATTGAAATTCTTCAACTATGCCAAAAAAGAGCAATTTCTCAAGGTCCTTAAAGAAAAACTAGAAGTGTTAGTTTATAGGTTAAACTCAGTTCAGATCTTCCAGGATTTAAGCAATGAATCTATACAGTGGAGGAAAACAGTGAAACCCATTACATCAATTCTAATCAAGAACAGTAGGAGATACAACTGCGGTCATCATGTCTTTCTAAAAATATGGAAGGATGGAGTCCTTTTCAAAATCTACTGTTTCGAAGAAGGCAAGGATTTGCTGATTGTGTGGGGGCTTTGGAAGGGAGATAAAGGCAACCAAGGTACAAGCAAGTAGGCTTGCAAGGAGTGGAAATTTGAAAGAGAAGGTATCTAGACTGGGTGAAATTATTGGATGTTATTTGATGTTTCAAGACTCTCCCCTCTCCCTCCTTCCCACCCCCCCTTTAACATGGTCCTTTTTCTTCTGTGGTTTATTTTTTGTTTTTTTTTAACACGGTCCCCTTCCCCCACCTGTTTTTTTTTTTTTTTTTGAGACAGCTTGTCTTAACCATAGAAAAGACATTGGTAGGATTTCTTCATGTCTCTGGATATGATGTCATTTTGCCCCTTATCTGTGCTATCAATATCCTTCCCTATAGAGGTCCACCCCATCTTAATAGTTCAACCATTGAATTTGTCCTGCTTTCTCCTGATATGTCTTCTTAAATGGATTGGGTGATTTGTATACCACGAGTGTAGTAAGGCTTCCAGCAAATCCTGTATCCCATCAGCCAGTATGACTCAAACAACTTGTATATGGATACCTTTCTTATACCTTTGTATCCCACCTGTTTCATTCACATGGCAGACAATTGTGGATTTAAAAATACAAGATGAGCAATCACCAGTAGAAATATTTCATTGTTTTTCAACCTCCTGTGAACTTATTGTTTGCTAATTGGGTCTTGTGCTTTCCCCCAGTTTTATTTTGTGGTGGGGGACAGTTACTCTGGAGTCTTTTATGTTCATGTTTGGTACAGCCTATTAACATTTATTTTGGGCAACCCTATTTTCTTCAGATATAAAACTGCAGCAAATGTTTATATAGGTCTTTAGTTATGAACAAACCTCTTGGGAGTCTTGTAAAGACATGAGTAATCTACACTAATCTGTATTAAAATGAAAGTAAGAAAAATGAAAGTGGATTATTTATAAATACTTCAATCATTTATATTAAATGTAAATTAAGGAATTCTGTGAGCATCTATGTAAAAAGCGCATGCAATTTGTTATGTAGGGTTGGTTTTTTCTTTCTTTCTTTCTTTCTTTCTTTCTTTCTTTCTAAGTTATGCTTAATTCCTCATGGTGGAAAACTGAAGAATAAGAAATTGTTGAAAAAAAATGCAAAATCCACTTTGGTATGTGTGTGAGAGTGTATGTTGTGTTGTGTTTCCACCACTACTCAATCACACATAAAATGTACCATTTATGGAAAAGATGGTAAGACCCCTGAATTATAAGTAAGAATTACTTTAATTGTAACATTTATCATGCCACCAAACTGTCACAACCCTGGCAGGGTAGTAATAAAGTAACTTCTAGGAAACCAGTCAATCTTGATCTCCCTTCTCATTATCTACCAAGAAGACACAGTACACAGTTCACTCTCCTATCTGTGGGATGGATTTGATCCATATGCCAAACGGTATTTGTTGCTTGCCTACTTCTCTCCAGTGCGTATAGAAGGAAGTCTATAGCCCCTTACCCCACTGTTGTTCCTTTCCTTGTGAGTCTGTGGAGAAAGGTTTGTGCTTATCTATAGGCTCCTCACGAGCTGTGGCTCTTTGCTAAAAACTCTTTAGAGAATAATGAGTTATCTGTATATTCTTTGGGTATTGGCTGTAAATGGAGAGAAAAATCAATAGTTAGGTTCAGTATGTGCCTCACCTGTGCTTACTGAGAAGTACCTTGTTTTCCCAGAAAACAGTTTGCAATAGTTTGAAAACCCTTTGAATAAAACCCTTGACCACATTTGATGTTATTTAGTATCTAACAGTGGAAGTGTGTTGGTTTCATTTTCTCCCCCCCCCCCTTTTTCAATGTTACAGAGTTTGCAGCACAAAATTTTATTGTAATAGCTTATATTTAACAGTAATCATTTTCTCCCCCCCCCTTTTTTTTTTCAGTGTTACAGAGTTTGCAGCACAAAATGTTATTGTAATAGCTTATATTTAACAGTAGTAACATTTCATATTTCAAAATGTAAACAACTGTTCCCCAAAAGTGCAATGCAGATCCACCTACTTTTTTTTCTGCTTCAAAATACTTCATCTGTAATCTTGATGTGTGTTGCTCAAAATTTTGTTGAATTAAGTTATGTGCTTCCAGATATCACTCAGAGTGCTAGATGGACCTGCATAAAACAGGGCCTTTTCCTCTTTTCCACTTCTTTAAATGCATTGGGAACAATGTAGACATAATATCTTGACCTGTCGTTCTTAATCTGTTATAATGAAGAATGGCTGCACTGTTTATGTGATGACCATTACTTCTGCCACAAGAAAATGAGAAAATAAGTAAGGAAATATACATCCACACCATCTTCAGGCCTGCGTAGCTGGGGAGGAGAATTTTCCTGTGTTTCTTGTGTCTGAGATATTGATGGAGCCAGCAAAGTGCATAGTATTATCAGGGGCAGCCCAGGCACAAATGCAGCATTAAGAAAAAGGGTCCTGTCTAGGTCAGGTATTTCTTGCTGTCATTACTCATATAGGAATTGGCTTCAGAAGTATATCTTCACAGCACATTGCTGGCAATTTTTCCCCTCTCCTATTGGCAGTGTCAGCATCTCTCTTTTTAAAGATGCTCCATATACTTTCACAGTCGTAAGGCCTTGCTAAAAACTGCCAGTGACAGGTCAGGAAAATGCATTTGGAGTCTCTACAGCCTCTCTGATCTGAATTCCAACAGAGAAAATCCTAAATCTACTGTGCTGTCCTTTTCAAGAAGAAAGTAAAGGAGTGGGGAGAGAAAAATGGGAGGAAATGGTGAGGGGAAGGCTAATGAATGCTGATTTATTTTGCTGGAATAGAGAAATAATAGCTATAATAAATAATAGCTTTATAGCTGACAGGTTGCTATATTTGACAATATTACTATTGCAAGTGGCTATGTTTTTAGAGCGACCAGAGGAGAGGGGGCAGACGGAAGCCTACAATTTGAAGAGGAGAATTAGTACAGAATTGTCCCGATTTTACGGTGGTACGAGTCAGGAGTGTACATATGTATGTTATAGAGCTGCACCTTCTCTTGTTGCATTGCAAGTGAAACACCTTATGGAGAAGATGAACATGTGACTGTTAACATAATAGTGTAGTGTAGTGGCCCAGGTAGGACTGGGTTCAGATCTCCATTTTAGATCAGCCATTTTCTCCCTATCTTCCTTCTCATACAGGCTCACCCAACTGCAATTAGTAATTCTCATCATGGCCCAGGTAGGACTGGGTTCAGATCTCCATTTTAGATCAGCCATTTTCTCCCTATCTTCCTTCCTGACTGCAATTAGTAATTCTCATCGCCTTGTCCAATGCCATGTCCTTCAAGGTATGCAACTCATCCACCTGGGTAAAGGAGAGATGTGCCATGGGGAGGAAACATTACTATGTTGATATAAACCTTCTCTTGATATAAATGTATAGAATTAAAATGCATGCTGATGGGATGCAGCCTTGGATGAAGGAAAACTTGGGCTATCTCATAACTCCTTGTAAGAGCCATTCCAACCTCCGGAGAATAAAAATAGTTTTATTTACAAGAGATGTGAAATGCCAGTCCTGTGTTTTGATATTTATACTCTCAAAGAGTGCTTGGGAACATATGTGACTCTAGACCAGGTTTTGTGCTGCATAAGCCATTCCCTCCAAACATCTAAGGAACCAATGTTGTTGGATTGAAGGCTCCGTTTGTCCTAGGCAGCATAGCCAATGGGCGATGGGAGCTGTCATTCAACAACATCTGGAAGGCTACATGTTCCCTGCTTCTGTCTCAAAGAAAGGCAGAAACAGAAATCCTAAAGATTTTCATAGCTGTCTGGATAGCTCAGTGGCTGCAGAGCCAAAAGTTGGGAGTTTGATTCCCCACTGTGCCTCCTATGTGGCCTTGGGCAAGCTATACAGTCCCAGGGCACCTCTAGAAGAAGGGAGTGGTAAACAACTTCTGAATATTTTCTACCTGGAAGATTCTGAAAAGAGTTGCTGTAAATCAGAATTGACTTGATAACACATGATTATCTTTTAAAGATTTACACAATGCAATCCCTCTGCTCTAAATATCTGTATTTTATTAAAGAAAGAGAGAGTAACTGTAAGTCTGTCTACCTGCTTTGACCATTTGTCCCTAAAACCCTTGGGTTTTCCCCTAAAAGGAAAAGGTACAAAGTTAATATGACTATATTAAATTGCATCCAAAAAGCTGAGCCTGTAAGAATGAAGCCATGTCCTGTTTGATATACAAAGTTTAATTGTTTTGTTTTTCTGTATGACCACATGTTTTATTCTTCTCCTAGGGGCATACGTGCTTCAGGTCAAAGCAACAGATGCGGATGATCCAACATATGGTAATAGTGCCAGAGTGGTTTACAGTATTCTTCAGGGACAGCCATATTTCTCCATCGATCCCAAGACAGGTAACAAAACCTTTTTTCTGGTAGGAGTGTTATTACTTCTCCTTTTTCAAGTATCAAGCTTTTCAGATGTTCCCCTAGACAATTTTTTTTTCTAATGATATAGTGACCCTTACAATGCAGTGCTTGCAGACTGAAAAATAGCACCTGCCTTCTCTTTGAATGGTGGAAATGCTGCTTCCCCAAATTCAGTGAACAGTTACCTAACTGAATCAAATTAAGTTTCACCAAAGAGCATACAGGCCTTACTCCATATGGAAAATGATGGGAATAGGTGATTGTGGTGTTGTTTGGCTAACTTAAATCTTACCTATGGATATTCCAGTGGAGGTTGGGGTTTTAAATGGATCAGCTTGCTCTAACTATGTGATAGTCAACATTAGCAAAATAGCTTTCAGTGTTTGATGGCACCCATCTAACTTTACTTTCAATTGCTTTTATACAACTAAATTAATGCATTAATTGATCCTACTGTAAAAAAACCCTCTCTGCTTATAATAGATTTATCAGTTCATACTGGACATTGTATAGATCCTTGGGACTCTTCTATTTGTCATAGCTTTGAGCAAGCAACTTTGACAGGCATGAGCACTAATCTTCTTGCCACAGGCCTGGAACTGCACTTTAAAGTCTGGGACTTCCAAAGAACGGAAGAACAGAAGGGTGAGAAAAGACAAAGATGATGACTAGAGTCTACTTCTGCAGCAGTAAGAGGCTAATGTCTCGCAATCTATTTAAAAGACGAATCACTGCAGGCTCCTTTGTTTTTGTTTCTTTCGTGTTGTTACTGGGAAAGCTTTTTTTTTCTCTCTCTCTCTCTGAGAAGGCAAAGGAGTCTGAAGAGACCAGAGCAGGTGGGTGCACCGTGGCCACACTGTGCTGACCCCTGCTGCAGATACTGTTGACACAAGTTACAGTTCTGAGCTAATAATACATTCCCTAACAACTTGGGCAGCAAATATATCGAAAAGGATTCTACAGCTACCAATGTAATAGGGATTTCAGTAGGCTCCAAGACCTGGACTGTGCCTAAATAAAGGACACATTGAGCAATGCCAATCCCCATGTACCCTTTTGGAAATACAGCAACCTAATCTTTCCCCAGGTTTATCATTATATTTGTCCACCACCAGTTTTCCATGAAGACCTCATTTCTGCAAGTGTGGAAATGTAAACAGCAAGGCCAGCTCACGTACAGAATGGTGGAGGCAGGGTAGAAGGATGTCAGGAATACTGTAGTCTGCAAAGCTGAGTGCTCTGATTTTTTTTTTATTCCCCCCCCCCCCGGGACCTAGGTTTATGCTCCCACCCGTTTTTTAAGGCAGCCACTGGGAAGGGAATGACTGAGGTCCTTTTAAACAGAACTGGACACAGTTCTCCTTCTTAAAAGGGCAAAGCAGGCTTTCTTTGCCCATTCTGACCTGTGTCCTTCCCTCTGCCCTTCATATTCCCTGGATCTGCAATTAGGTGTGTGATCGCCAGAAGATGTTAATGAATCTTCGGCAGGAAAGGCAATGAAGGATCCTTTCCAGGGTTTTAAAAAAATTCTCATTCTCTGGTACCAGCAAGTCAGCATCTTTCTTAGTTTTTCTTCCTTGAGACAAGGAATTAGTCAGAGTGCCCCTCCACCCCGTTCATATACCTGAGCTCTTTCTGCCACTCTGTTGTCACTCTAGAACTGCACACATGGTGCTGATTTCCATACTTGCACATTTGTGTGAAGACAATCCATAGCCCTGTAATGCAGCATCTTGTCTCAGTCTCTGTTACATCATCATCAGGATCATGTAGTATACATTGCGCTGCATTCTATCACTTCCAGCAGCTGTCCCTGGATATAGGAAAAAAACACCCTTGTTGTTTAAAGATTTTCCATGTTTGCTGGTGGGGTTTCTGTAAACAGTGGTCCCTCCCAAACAATATCTTTCCTGAGCTCTGGGGAACATTTAAACCTGTGACTCCTCTATGTGCCATCTGAAGTTAACATCTACTTTTCCAGGAAATCCATCTTGTCATTCGGATATTCTTGTTACTTGCCTCTTACAGTTAGCCAATTTCATTTGCAGCCAGGGTGTGTAATCCAATTCCAGTGTGCAGCATACCTCTGAAAATCCCATGCTTAATCATATATATCCTCCCTATTAATTTGGAATGACCTTTTCTTTAGCCAGATTTCCAATAAGCAGCACTTTGGCTTTACTCTGAGCCATAGTTATCCAGGGTGTTTGTGTAGCTGAGGTCTTTGGACCATGCCCTATGTTATTTGGATATGTGCCGTTAAGTTTTATTCTGGCACAAGCGGGCATTTTAATGAACACTGGCACTCAGTGGGAAACCTGTGCTTTTCCTCCCAATCGCTTGCTTTTGGCAGGTAGCAAAATTGGTGGGTAAGAGGTAGATGTTAATGTCAGACTGTTGTTTGGAGGTCACTGGTTGTGTGAGTGGGGGGTAGGGAGGGAAACGGTGCATGAACAGCCGGAAAAGCTCATGGGACAGGAGGACTGTTAATTGCATATCTCGTCCTATATTCTGAAATGTCATTCCTGCTTCTGTATTTAATAATTCAAGGACTTAACTAAAACGTTCTGCAGTAAATGCTGCCAATTGTGTGTCTTGAATGCAGCGTAGGAGGAGCTGCCTGCCAGCCCCCTTCCTGCAAATGGAACTTCTTTTTCCCACTGAATCTCAACTTGAATGTCAGATGGAGTATTAAAGACTCTTGCTTCCTGGCTAATCAATGAGGGGAGGTGGAAACAGCATAATGCTGTCAGTGCAAGCTCTCCAGAGGTCATGTCCTCTGTCAAATAATACCCTATTTTAACACAAGATTTGTATTGCAAGTGTGTGAATCAGTGGCTTTATTTTTGAAATTAGGATGAGCATGATTTCCACTCCCCCACTTCTCCCCAGGCCCAAAGGGGATAGAAATCATGTCCTCTTCATGTTCTTCTTTTAATGAGATCTTGCTAGGAACGCAGAGGTGTTAAAATCCTGGCTCTGTGAGTGTTATGCAATATTTCTGGATGAGATGAATAATGACAACAAAGATTTCCCTGGGATCTCCTGCTTTGCTTTTTTTTGGCTTCTTTTCTCAATGCCACCTTCCTTAATTATATTTGACGTACATTCAGAAGGAAGCACAGCTGGGCTTAGGTCTTAATGGTTTGGGGTTATTCGCTGTGGGCAGATTCGAACCATGAGGACTTGCTCTTCACCACGTAAGAACTTTATTGAAACCTTGATTCTTCTGGGGTCCAGTCAGATTTACCACGTATTTGACTGGCTTCATCCCTCTGAATAGTAAGTGATAAATACCCTTTTCTGTTCCCCCCATAAAGGTGCCCTTTGCTAGAGCATTGGCTTTCAGCTCAGAGTTACAGGAGGATGAACCAGCTTGAGTCCTAACCAGTGCTATACTATGGAATATGAAATTGAGCCAGATTCCTGCCCCAGTAAAAAGAAGTTTGCCTTATTTGTCAACCAGTGAAAAGACAACAAGGAAGCAACTATGGCCTCCAGAAAGCTCCATAACTCAGAAGTGGCCAATGAGAAAGCCTTCTTCTGTGTCACTGCTAGATGTGTCACTGCTAGATGTGCATCTGCAGATGGTGAGGCTGAAAGAAGGATCTAACCTGAAGATCTCAAAGCCCAAGCAAGTTCATAAAGGAGAAGATGGTCCTTCAGATCACATTTACCCAAGCTGCTTAGGTTATAACCAATAACTGGCCTTTTCACCTTTGTGTTTTCATCTCTTTGAGCTTCCCTTCCCTCTCTGAGTCAAACTAGACATGAAGGAGAATGCATACTTCCTCTGACTAAGCCATTGTCCTCCTGCAGGGAGACTTCCCCAAAGGTACGCCTTATCAGCATTGAGACTTTTAAATTAAGACCAAAGTTGCTTTCCAATGACCAATCACAAAAGAAAGCACTCTATATGAAATATAATAGAATTGGCAAAAAATCATATGCTGCGACAAACACACAAGAGAGAATCTTATCCAGAAACATTCTAAGATCAACTTTGGCCTTCGGTTCATGGAATTTCAGAATACATTGATATTTCCTTACTTTTTGAATCAGAGCCCTCCTTATTTATTTTTGCACACTATGTAAGCTGAGTTCAGAAAAGGAACAGGCAGCAAATATCATGTTTCAAATATATGTTCTTAACTGGTAGAAAAGAGCAGTGACTTGCAACAACTGCCGATGGAGATTAAAATAAAGTGCAAAAACAAGATTACAGTTGAATGTTATGAATAAAAAAATGAGTACAAAAGAAGTGCATAAAAGTAATACTGACAACAAACAAATTCTTAAATTTTTTCTACAACTTGGTTAAATCATCAATACAAATGGCATATGGAGTCAAGAAATTAAAAAAAAGAGAGACTCACTTAGAAGGGCAGCTTTGTATGAACTAGAAAATATCCTTAAGAGTAAGGATATGCTCCTAGAGACCCAGACCAAGTTCATCCATACTATAGTATGCTTGATTAAGTTGTATAGCTGTGAAAGCTAGACAGCAGAAGAAGATTGGGGAGGAGGATTATTCATTGGAAATGTGTTGTTGGATTGTGGTTTTTTGGATACCATGGACAGTAAGAAAGGAAAATGAACAGGTTCTAGATGAAATCCAGCTGGAATGCTCACTGGAAACTAAAAATTACTAGACTTATGCTATTATAATTTATACACATTGGCTGAAATCCTGCAGTAAGTTGCAACTAGAAGAGGCCCATTGAATAAGTGAAACTTATATAGATTTTGACTCAACAAATCCCCAAAAATTTAATGAGCCTCCTCTAGTTTTGACTTACTGTTAGATTTGAGTCACTATGAGAATATGATTCTCAGGAAAAGACAGTGGTACTAGAAAAAGGGGAGGGCAGGAGGAGCAGAGGATGGCATAGCATGAAATGGATTGATTTAAATCTGTACTTTCTTAGACTTAAACAGTATAGGGCCTTCTGGAGGTCAGTAATTCATAGGGTCATCCAAAGACAGAAATTAATTGATAGGGCATAATAACAACTTGCTTCTTGATAGGACATAATAACAACTTGCTCCAGGTATTTGATATAATTATTTCCTCTTTCTACCTGATTAGGTGTTGGTTTTCTTATTGTTTCTCAGCTTTATGGAAGAGAGGGATTTCATGGAGGAGCAAGTACATTGGTTCTATATTCTTAAAGCTTTCCACTCTGTAGTGGTGGACTCAGCCTATCCTCTTGTGTTTTGGAATTTCAGGAATAAAATCTTAACATCACTACATATGCACTCTTCAAAATCCTCTAAAATGTATTAGCAGAAGGGAGCCTTCTGTAGAGACTTAGAATCAATCTCGTACAGCTGGTAATATATTTGTGGAGAGGCACATCAAGAGTCTTTTGGAGAAAGGTGGTAGCATCCAGAGGTCTGAGGGTTACATACTCTTACCCTGAAATTTTAGAGAGCCACAACGCTTCTTGCACCAACCCTAACCCCAAAATATGTTTCTATCCAAAAGGCATTGTTTAAATCGGGAAAAATAATACTTCTTAGTTGTCATTCTTAAAAATATTGTACAAATGTTCCAGGTGTGGAAGACACAGGAATGGCTGGAATATTCGACATCTTCCCTGATTAGAGGTTACTGTTAGGTTTTGGGGGTACAGCTCCAGGCTGCTAGATTCCAGGATCTATGCACCAAAAAGACCTGACTTTCAGTACCCTAAATAAGATTATAACAAATTTCCAGCACAACAATTATTTCCCACTGTAAATATGCTCTTAATCTTGCCAAATGCAGTTCACTTGCAGTGGCCCGGGTTTTCTACAGAAGTGGTGGACTACCACAATCAATGGCAGTCTTTCAGCCAACAAAAAATTAGGTCCATAGGCATCCCCCTTGAACATATTCTGATGCTTCGGCAGAAACAGGCCCTGAGAGCTCTCATCCAGAGGCTACACAACACAGAAAATCAGGAACTCTTTTCCCAGGCAAACAGAATGTGCCCACCCCTTGTCACACAGTGTTTTCCCACCATATAGGACCCCTGCAGGCTACCTAATCTCACTCTGCTCACCGCAAGCCTGCAGAACATTCATGCTGGCCAGACTGAACATGCTCCCCTCAGCCCTTCTTCAGGGCAGATTTAAGGGATTCCCATGCCAAGAAAGATTCTGCCCATGTAGAAAAGAGTCCCCTGAATTTCTTGCGCCTACACTTTTATACTGCCCATTTTATGAACAAATCAGGAATAGCCTAATCTGCTCGTTGCTGAACACGTCCCACGCTACCCCTTCCAGTTGGTTAGTAAAATACTGCCTCTTAAACCATAACCCTTATACCATAGCACAGGTAGCAAGTCTTTCCTAGCTGCAATGTGTAAGAGGGCGATGTTTGTCCCAGTTACCTAACCTCTCAATGCACCTGTCTTCCTGTAATCCTTCTCATTGTTTATACTGTATACTCTTTTTCTGTATGGGTCATATGAATGCAATAAACCTATTTGAAATTTCCAGTACTTGAAGACAATAGGAGAAGAGAGAGAGAAATGACTGTCTCTGTCTTCCTCCAGGAGGCATGAGTTGTCAGGAGTAAGAAAATGACAGTTCCTGTTTCAGAAGGTTCTGTGCACATCTAATGCTTTAGGATTGTTGTGCTAAAGGCAGGGGCATGAGGAGTCCCCTGCCTCTCCACACTACTGTTCAATAGAATGAATAATAAAATTATTTTTCTATGGACATCATAGGATATCATACAATACTGATACATTGGATGCATGTATGTGTCTTCTGCTTCTTTTGAAAGGTGTCATCAGGACAGCCTTGCCAAACATGGACAGAGAAGTCAAAGAACAGTATCAAGTTCTCATTCAAGCCAAGGACATGGGAGGGCAGCTTGGAGGATTAGCTGGAACAACAACTGTGAATATCACTCTCACTGATGTCAATGACAATCCACCTCGATTTCCCAAGAGTAAGTTCTATCACATATAAGTAACATTCAAAATGAAGATATCTATGAAAATTCTCAGCCATCCAGGTGTGGTTATCTGGAAGTTGAGTCCTGGCAACTAGATTTCTTTCTCTTCCTAACCAGAAATACCACTGTTAACGACTGTTAACAACCCATGAAAGTGGGTGGAGAAGGACTGCAGAAGTGGGATTATCCCTCACCCCTTGTCCTTTGTCCTTCTAGTGATCCGATTCAGACCAGGGGGAAGTGAAGCCAATGTGGAGGATATATCAAGGATCTCCTACCAACACTACTCAGACTGAAGAAGCTAATTGGACGAGAAGCAAAACATTTCAACGAAGAAGTCCAGTTGCCATGACTCAACTTCGAGATATTCAAAATGAAGATGGCTGTATTTATTTAGCACAGCAATGTGATTAATGTTCTAGAGAACCTGTGCTGCAGGAGATAAGATACTACATGAATTGATTTGTTTGCCAAAACTCTGAAATGGATTTTTGTTATATGAGAAAAGAGTTTAATATTGCATTTTCTATATCATCTAATTAACACTCATGGGTTGAAATCAATTAGTAAGTCACAACTAGAGTAAGCTTAATGAAACTCTTATAGCTATCTTTACGATTTTCTTTTTTTGCTTTTGTTTGTCTGATTTTATTGACTAAACTGCCCAGAATAGTGCATTGCACTAATGGGGCTATATACCAACCAACCAATCAACCAACCAACCAACAGGTGTTGATTCAAGAAATCATTCCTTATCCAACGGGCCTACTCAAACTGTGACTTGTTACTGGATTTCAGCCATTGTGTGAGTCAATGTCATCACTTGAGATGTATACAGTTGAGTAAACATGGGAGCTTCATATTTATATTGCAAGGGATACGAATACAAACCTCAGCACCACAGGTGCCACAGTGGTCCATTCCCACCCCCCAGAATTAGCCCAGTCCACTCACTAGACCACTTGCAGCATGTGTATCCAACAGCAGCAACATTGCACCAATTATGGAAGTAGTCCCAACGGCGCTGCCTTGCCACTCCTCTCAGCTGATTGCTCAGCAGCTGAGCGGGGAGACTCATCTTCTTGCCTCCACACCAGAGCGGCCAGCTGTGGGGAGGGGGTGGGGCAGTGCCAGTGGGACTACTTCCATGATTGGTGTGATGTTGCCACCATTGGATCCATGCGCTGCAAGGAGCCAGGCATTGATGTATTAGCACAAAAGTGGTTAATCCAACATAACAGACCATAAATTGGGAGTTTTGCCATTCAATTGACTAGATATGAACTAAATCTTCTGCTATTTTGTTTCTTTTCCTTTTGATTTCTGTTAAAAATCTCAGGTTAAGGCTATTGTATGAATTGCACTGATATATATAGCATATATATATATATATGGAGCACTATCTAGCATAATTTGAGACTAATCTGGCATAAGCCTGTGCTTGGAGAAATCAGATTTTAAATTCGGTTCTTATACACTTTTAAATATTTTACGTAATTATTGTGAAGTATAGAAAAGCAAATTTTACATACTATGAAATTGTTTAACAAAATTCTTTCCTGTGAGTCAACTTCTCTGTTTGCATACATTATGCCCAGTACTGGAAGAAGCTCAGTCTCTTGACTGCGCAACTGGATTTTGGGGCTGAGATTCATTATTAGAATTCCTTAATAACTCAAAGCAGTGAGCGTAGCTGGCAAATGTGTCGAGTTTTGGGAGGAGGCATCACAAAGACCTGGAGTTACTCACTGTGGCTGTTCTGAGTGTGTTTCTAGTTCCTGCAAGCTCAACATCAGTGGAGCAGGTCTTCATTGAGAGCAGAATTGTGATGAGACCTCACCGTGCTAGACTGGGGGCCAATTGTGTACAGAAAATTGTGTTTCTTCAATACAACCTTGATAAGCTTGAATCATTTCAGCAAGTTTATTGTTGTGAAATGTCTTGAGTTTTAGCACTAGGCTGGGAGCCAATCTTACCATATTGTACTGAGAAAATTACTTGTTTATCTGATACGCAGTTTTGCTGTAGCTGATTCAAACCGTTTATTGACACAAAGCTGTGCTCTCACAATAAACGGTTGGAATTTTGATACTGGTATGCTTTTCGAGCCAAATTTGTGGTGACAATCACATGCTCGAGGGAAGGGCAGATGGGACTAAAAATGGATGGCTCACAACCCTCAGACCTCCACATGCACACACGGCAGGGGAAAAAGAAGTTTGTTTTTAAATAGGGATTTGAGGGTTGGACTTGGGCTTTGGTACCAAAAATGTGGACTTGGACTTGGGACTTGGATCCAAAGATTTACCAGTATCTCTGCCCTTTTGCCCTGAGAAGCCTTTGGGAAACTTGGAGTGGTGGTGGTGAGGAAACCTTTAATATTTTTTTTAAAAAAATCTCCATTGCTGGTCCTACCTTAGGTGGGAATAGCCATTGGTGCAGGTCTGCCAACTAGATTCTGGCCACTATGTTTTCCCTGCATGATATACTGTATGATTATTCAAGGTGTTTCTAAACTAACTCTAAAATCCCTGTTAAAGATTACAGGAAGCTTTCTGTTATTTAAGCATTTTTGTCATATCTCTACTGACACAATATCCCTAGCTCTCATAAACCTCAAATGGTTGTTCCTTGTTCTCTTAAGTACCAGTTTTCAAGGTATTTTGTACAATGCCTGACCTCCCTCCAGAGGTCTGCATTTTGCCAGATGTCTGGCTTCATATAGCATTTTTTTGCAGCAGTATTTTTGACTAACCTGCTATTCCTCCAGCCAAACATTGCCTTGTAACAGAGGCAGCAGCTTAATAGACTCAGGCATTTCCAGGTGCAAGGGGGGGAAAAGTTCTAGCATTGCATAAGTCAAGCAGTCTTTTTTTAAAAAAAAAAATAGGAGGTATGTCATGGGTGTTCATTTTTCCCCTCCAAGTGTTATAGGTCTGTGGTTGTGAATATTAAGGGTTTTGCTCATTGGCTATGTTTTTGCTGTCAAAAAGCCAATCCTTCTAGCTTGCCGTCTGTTCTGCTCCTTGCTAAAGTTAAAAATGTCTAGCCTCTATCACATGAAATGTCACAGAAGCCAATAATAGCTGTCACCTTCTGTGGGAATAGAGGAGAGCAAAAAGAAAAAGAAATAAGAAAAGTGAGCACAAGCTCATCTGAGGAAGTAACATTATTAAACGGAAAATTAACATGCCCTATGGCAATCGTGTAACAGAATGCTTAACTGAATTGTGGGGTGATTAATCAAAGAAGACACACCAATGGGTAGTAGCAAAACATTTGCCATGTCACCCGGAAGACTGGTGTCTTGTATGCTGCAGTAATAACCGAGGCAGAACTGAAATTCATCCATGTTAAGAGTTACGAGTAGGGATTGTGAATCTTTGCTTCTCTTGTACTTGCAGAGAAGGACATATTTTTTCCTCACCACCAAGGGTAGCAATTGATGTCCTCAGGCTGTTGATAGATATCTCCCATCAACTACAGCACTGTCCTGTGCAAACATTGTCTGTTTTTGTGGTGATTTGCACAATTGCCCATGCTGTGCAAATTGCTCCAAGCTCGAATGATTGTTGCTTTATTTAAGAATTCGAAGTGCTAAATGGGTTGTTTGCATCTAACAGCTGGCCGGTCCTTCAGTGACCAGTCTTTATGGTTGGCCGCTCCTTACAGCATTCATGGCTTTGCTTTTCAAGGGGCACTAGAAATATTTCATGCAAATTGAAGATACTTTGACAGAAAAAAATGAATGTATATTTGTTGTCCTCACTTGGAGGAAAGGAATCTCACCACATGCTGAAATTCCTCATTAATATGTCTCATGCCTAAATCAGTGACAACAAGGAATTTAGTGTTCTTTCCATCCATAGATTCCATTCCTGGCCATTACATCTGTGTCCTGAGATTCTCTGTAGACAGAAGTCTTGAAACATTTATAGACCAGGTCTGCAAGGCAGGTGTGGCGTTCAGCCAGGTCATGAGTATTCATATGCTGTTTGCATAGATCAGTGAGAGTGCTGGAGGGGCAGAGTCACAAGGTATAAGAGATTCAGCAGTAGCAGGAGGAGTTTAGATAGACATTGATAGGGTTTTAGAGATAGGGAGTTTGAGGGAGAGTTGAAGGGTCTGGTGTAGCTTTGGAGTTTGGGCGGGAGAATGGTGGTTGACAGTGGAAAAATTTGGGCGGGAGAATGGTGGTTGAGAGTGGAAAAATAAGATTGTTTGTTTAAGAGTTAACAACACTGCTTGTTCTGTCAGGACATATGGTCCAAAGAGTTAACAACATTGCTTGTTCTGTCAGGACATATGGTCCGGACATCTATCATTCATAATAGGTATTGTTAATGAAATCAACTGGTGGCAGCTGAGGGGCACGTAGCATGAGCTTTTTGGTTGGTGAAACAATCAGAGGCCATGTGGAATCCTGACATCAGGAATCTCCTACAGATGAGGCTTCCTCCTCAAGCTTCAAGTAAAGTACAAAACATTTCTGGCAACAGGCACAAAATCACAAATTACAAAGATATAGCAGCTTTAGGTGTAGAGGTGCTGCACCCTACAGAGGATTCAGATGGAGGAGGATAAGATAACCAATTGGTGAGTCACTTCCTCAAACTCAAAGGGGAAGAAGAAACTCAGACAGAGAGAGAGAAGGGAGGAGGGAAGCATGGAATGGGCAGATTTCACAGACAGAATATCAAATGCTGAAATGTGCACATTCACCCAATCCACCCAAAACAGAATAGTTATTTTCTCATCCTACAACTATTCTCGAAAGACTTTGCAGTCATGAATAAATCAAAGAGATCTATTTTCAAACATTCATATGACAAGTAAGAATTTAAATGCTGACTTGTGCAAAACATTCTCCTCAATGGAAACTGCCACAAAGCAGCAAGCTTTTTTTGGGAGGTGGAAATCCTGGAGAAATGTTTGGCATTTCTGAATGGGCTTTTGCATATTTCTTTGAAATTGTGACAACTTTTGCCTTTGTT